TTAACATTGTGAAGCTCTACTTAGAACCTTCTTAAGATCCAATAGTGCAAAATGCAAATTCTTGCACTTTTTTGACTGGTCTTAAGATTTTGATCAGGAGTGTATATCATTCCAACAAGACATATCAGAAGAGTGTAGACTAGTATGAAGATGATGGTGGCATAATATATGCAGTATGTGCACCTGAAACAGGTCGACTAGCAACATAATTTTTCCAACATTAACAATTCATTATATTTTAGTCATTATGGTCTTTATAACAATATTTTTGGGGAGGTGGGGTTGCGCACGCTAGTTCCAAGCATGAAATGTGATTTGAATTCTTACTTTGCCCGTTTTTCTGATGAGAGATGCCATTATCACTGAAATGAGTGTAATGTTGTTACGTGACCACTAGGTGGTGCTGATGGTGCTCATAATTGGACCTGCGGGTCAAAGTTGAAAATGAGTTATGGTGCAGAGGCAATAAAATAAATAAATAAATAAATAAATGAGTGATGTCCTCGTGTGAGGATGCAGGGTCTCAGGGGGCTAAAGTAAATTTTATGGTTGTATGCAGTCGTTTTAATCCCAGGAAACAAACGAGACTGGAGTTTCAGCAATCCTCAAGTTTTTATTTGTTTACAAAGTTCAGATTGCAATTTCATATAGTCCTTCCTGTAATGAGTAGAAAACCTTTTTTTATTTAAAGAATTAGTCAAAAGGCACAAATTTTACAATATATACATTTAGATCTAAATTATAAATATATATAGAAAACAAAAGCAAAACCCAGAATAAAAGTGCTGAACACAGTTTTTGTTGTTTTTGTTTTGTACAGAAAAAATAGGCTTTGTTTAAAAATACATACAATCAGTAGCATGTTTTTTTTGTCTCATTTTCCTTTTAGTTAGCAATAAATTACTTAAGAGTGATAACATTTATATAATATGCAAATGGTAAAGAAAGGAGAAACATGAGTACAGTATACACAGAGCGATTCATACGGAACAGGACCAGTAAGCTCGCACTGTTCAATAACCAACACGAACAGGAACTGGATTACGCCACTCTTAGTGCAAAAAAAAGATAGAATTAAAGACCTAACTAAGCAAATCAATAATAAAAAAGGCTTATTTTCCTAAAAACTGCAGTTCATGTCCCTTAAATACATAAAGCTTTCTTTTTGTGACAAACACAAAACCAGATCTGTTGCAGACTGATGTCTTGGAATGTGCCTTATCAGGAAGAATAAAAAAAAAGAAAAAGAGATGAACATAAATGATTACTTTGAGTGAGTCAGTTTAATCCTACTAAGGGACTTATCAGTTACATATAAGAGTATAAAACAGACGTGAAACGAGCTCTAAAAATCTGTTCCACAGCTGCAGGACGAATAAGAATAAAACAGTCTGAAGAAAAACAAAGAATTCAAAAGAAACTGCCTCTTATTTTGATCTTTGCCCCTAAGATGGCATCAACATTTGAAAAAAGACAAACAAACAAAAGAACCACTGACATTTTCACRAGGACAAACAACAAACTCATCACATTTAGTCTAAAATACAAATACAGCAAGAATCACAGCACAAAGTCAAGAAAAAAAATCACAACATGATGAATTTATTAGTTGGAGGAGGAGGAGGAGGAGGGGCGTATTACATAATCCTGTGGGTTTTCTTCCTGAGTTTGATTTAAAAAAAATCTCATATCTTTGAGCCAGTATCTGTAGGGGTGTCCGAGGAAAACTTTGGTATTTCTGCAAAAGGTTAAACCAGACAAACCGGAGTAAACTGAGAAATAAATTCAGACGCTGCACAGCAGTACAGAAACAGTGCAAACTTATTTTGGTGGCAGGTTAGAATAGAATTAGTTTTATAACGATCTTTAACACGAGCAACGTCCCTGACCAAAAGGATTCATCAGCTAGAATAGGCGAGATCTAAAATCTAAATATCCCTTAAATATAAATAACATTTCTTTTCTTATAACAAACAAAACGTTGAGAACACACTGCGCTCAATCTGTCAAAAATGTACTTTACAAACGTCTCAGAATGAAGCGGAACAGAAAAAAAAAATAAACATGCAAAGATAAAAACACTAAGCGTAAACATTTATGTTCGGTTTTTTGTTGTTTGTTTCGAAACTATTGTGGTAAATGGTTTTATTGCTTTTGGATCAGCCAACCTCTGGCATTTCTGTCAACAAACCCACTACAGTGCATAATGTTCACCCACAAACATGAACGGGGCTCACAACTTTGACAATAATCACACATGAAGTTTGAAACTGCTGAAAAAAATTAAACTAAACTCATCTGCATACATGAAGACGGAGACAAACAATTTTAGTAAAAGGGCTTCAATAAAAATAAAAAGTTTCCATTGATAATAGAGACTAAAACCTAATTTTCAATAATGTGATCGAAATGACACGTATACACAAACAAATAAAGCAGTAATGTAAATAACAATGCATCACAAATACAATATATATAAAACTATCTGGGTTTGACGGCAGATGATATTTTGTACGTATGCTGCTCGAACACGTCATGTACCACTGAGCAAAAACTGGAACAAAAAACGGTCAAACCTGCGGAAATCACGTACAGAGAGGATGATCCAACCACCACGAGACGACGGAGGCTGAGGGACACCAGCAGGACGAGGACGTCTGAGAGGGTAGTGTCACCCAAACCCTCTGCACCCGACTTTGGGCCTGGTTGTTGTTTACATCCCTCCCTCCATTTTAAAAGGGAACACATCATGCAAAATCCACCTTTTTAGCCATTAAATGCATTTTGTTGTGTGCTTTGAGCCTCTGGGAGTGCAGATAATTAGAATTTAGTTTCTCCTGGTGCTGCGTACATTTCTTTATGTTCTGTTTGGGTCYGATTTTTCAACCCGTTCAGTTCTGAACTATTACATCACAGCAACCGTGTTTCCATCAACATTCTTGTTTGCGTATTTTGAAGTAGCGCATYAGAAAAGGTTGAAGGAAACGGAAAAATTCAAAAAAATGTCCTCAATTTTTACGAGGCGATTTTCAGATTTTCCAAAGAGCTCGAGTGAAAGGTCAGMTGGAACGACACTGGCCGAATACGTTCTAACCAGGGCTGTGAAACTAATCGAGTTAACTCTGATTAATTTTAGTGCTGAAAGGACATAGATTAAAAATTTTAATTGTGATTAAAATTTACAATCACTTTACTCTGGCTGAATATGTAGGTTTGTATATTGCAATGCACTCAGAGCATGCCAGGTCATGTTTGTAAATGAGAAGTGTTTCTCAAACCGTTTACCTGGATAAATAAAGGTTAAATAAATAAAATAAATTAAAAAAACTCCATGTGTAACACATTATGTACATTTTTCTTTCTTTTTGTCTTCTTGTGGCTTATTTTATTTTGTTTATTTATGTTTTGCTGACAACTGTGACCTTAGTAYSTATCTTTCATTCCTCATGTAGTWCTCATTTGAAATGAAAATCCATGAATTCTTGATTTAACCTCATTATTCTGCACAAAATTTAACTGACTCAAATATGTTTGGAGCATTTTTAAGGTCCTGTTTTATATTCAAAAAATCATGTCTAAGCATCAATTTTGTTTTATACATAAAAACATTAAAAACTACAAGTAATTTATTTTATCAATATGCATTAGAAATGTATATTAAAATTAAGAGTAATCATGATTAATTCACAGCTACTTTGGGACTAATCAGGTTAAAAATATTAATCATCTGACAGCCCTGGTTCTAACGTAATAAATATTTTCCTCACATGATTGATCAGTTGTTTCTCTGTCGGCGCCTTATTAGATATTACCATGAGAATTATATATTTTTTCTCGACGTCTCTGGACAGTACGTAACATCACTGGTTGATATGACAGAACAATTACAACCTTACCCGATAACAACACATTCCTAAAAACGTCTCTCCATTTTCTCCATGTGGTCCCTGCTAGTTTGGAACCTGAACTTCCTGTTTATGACAGCCGTGTGTAACGTCAACATCTGACGAAATTACACTTAACCGGGTTGATTTGTTCCAAACCAGTAGATAGGAACATCCCTAATTCACATTTCTTGTTTTCTTCTTTTTTGGCGACAATTTAAAAGTTCGTCAAAAATTCGCATTATTCCTGGATACTTGGCTAACATCCTCTGGGTGAGACTCTTAAGTCAGAGTCGTAAACCCCTCGATCAAACTAAAGTGAACCGTCCTGGAAGCTGGGTGGGAGGGCTCATTTGGATTAAAGAAACAGCCTCAAAACGAGTTGATCTGAGACACCTCAGAAAAGGGGTGAAAGAGGGGCTTGTGGAGTTACAATAAGGAGTTCCACTTTATATAAACCCCAACTGAATGATTTAAATGTGAAAAAAGAAGGATTTAAAAGCATGATATGTCCACTTTAAATGGATTTCTGAAACCCAAACCGACTGCTGTGAAAATATTTTTCTGCCCGGATTATTTAATTTTTTAAAAATCCCAAAGCAGCTACGCAGCGATCGCAACGACGGAAAAACGAACCCGACACCAGCRTCATGTAACATAAACACCGACTGACAAGACTCCCTCAGGGGATAAATACAAATATACCTTTGTTTTAAATTAAAAAAATAAAAGAGTAAAAATATATACATTAGGCTACACGGATTTTTTTAAGACTGCATTTATAGGTTTCTCTGAAGGCACTGTTTGCAACAGCAGACTGCTCTTCCTCTTCATTTGTTCCTCACACTAGTGTTCAAATGAGCAGAGGGAGAACTGAGAGGGACGCAYGTGGAGGAAAAACTGAAAGTTGAGGCATTTTATGGCTGATCAGCGAAAAGATGTCATCATATTGTTAAAATCTACCTTATTTCCCTCAAACCTCGCCTTGCATACATTTATTTATTCTGTTTTTTTTTTTGCCAAGCACGGTGAAGAAACAGCCATTCAGAGCTTCCAGCGAATTCACTGATCTCACCTCAAATGAAGCAGCAAAGGAGGTTTGTTAGAGGATTCCCACACAGAGTGCAGTTACCACAGGTTGTTTTCCTGACTTCCTTTTCTTTTTTTTTTCCTTTCCTTTTATTTCTTTTTTTTTTTGGAACTTTTGAAACAGCTGCCTTGCTTTGGTGCAGAAATCTGACATTAAACCACAAGTCGGAAATGCTAAAGGAGAAGGAACAGGCAGTGACTTGACTATTGGCCCTGAGGGGAGGACAGGTTCAAAAGGGATGGAAAGAAAAAGAAAAAGAAAAAAAAAAGGATGCAATCTACTCCAAAAGACTAAACAAAATGCCAACAACCTTACGGAGTCTGACTGAGGTGTAACCACCGAGGCTTTTAGTCCTGCTGAGGGTACTGGATGACAGACTTGCGGTCCTGTCCGGCCTGCAGCATGCTGTGCAGGGCCTCGCGCACGTCCAGGGCGCCAGAGTGGCCGTTGGGGAGAGAAACGGGGTCCGACTGCTGGAGGAGAAAGGGCGTGGGTAAAGAGTTGGAAAACAGCGAGGAGGACGAGGAGGACGAGGACGAGGAGGAAGGGGACGAGGAAGGGATGGAGAAGAGCGACACCGGGTTGTTTGACAGCGACGAGGTGGAGGAGGTGGAGGCTGAGGATGAGGGGTTGGTTTTCTGCGGGGGCAGCGCYAAGCCAAGTATCTCTAGTATGTCCTGGTCGTGGTTGTTGGTCAGCAGATTGTGGTTCTGCGGCGGCGGCGGCTGCTGGAGCATCAAAGGCTGCTGTGGGGCTGCAGGGGGCGGGGCGTCGGGGGCCATCCCGGGGAACAGAGCCAGGTTAAAGTCCAGGCTGGGCCCGGCGTCTGTGCTGTCTGTGGAGGGGGAGGGCGAGCTCATCGTCAGGTCCAAGATCTCATTCAGGGGATTAGTGGAAGACAAGTCTGGAGACGGCGCCGCCTGGTGGAGTGACGTGTTTTTGGGTAAATGATACGAAGTTAAGAAGGGCTGGTTGTAGAACTGAGGGAAACTGTGGCTGACAGGTTTGGGCAGGACCACCTGGCTGTTGGTGCTGGAGGAGCTGGAGCTGTTGGGCCAGCTGCTGTGGGTCCTTTGATGGGTCTGGTTCCTCAGCAGAGACAAACTGTAGGAGGGCTGCTGCAGAGCGGACTGGATCTGAGCCTCCAGCTGGGACATGCTGCCGTTCTGAGTCCTCTGCAGAGCGTTCTGGCTCGGTGCGAAGGCGTGGCTCGGATTCTGGTTGAGGAAGGCGTTGAGCATGGAGTTCTGGTTGTCTGGGAGGCGCTTGTTCTCCTGCTCCAGCTGACGCATGTGCTCCTGCAGCTGCTTCTCCTTCCTCCTCTTCTTCACCTCTTCGTTCATTAGCATTAGCTCCTCGCGCACGCGGACCACGCAGGYCTCTGGGATCTTGATGCCTGGGTGGTGGGGGGTCGGAGATCAAAAAAATCAATCAACAACAAATCAACACCTAAAGACACAAATCAAAGACTGCTTTGTAACACCAGCCACAAAGAGGCAGCAACACTGTTTGCCGTGTTAGCAAAATATCTCATTCACCAGAACATGGAATTCAATAAAGGTCGCACTGAGGTCAACATAAAATGACATGAAATAAAAAAAAACTGATTTAGTTACTCAATTTAGCAGAATTTAAYTAAAATTTGGTGTGCTATCAGAAGAAACTGATCCAACAATGACTTTAAGAACTACACAAACTATTTTACAGTTAGCTGTTGGACTCAACTCTGATTCTTAGCCAAATATCTCAGTAACTACTGAACAGTTAGTAAGTAAGTAAACTTTATTTYTATAGCACCTTTCACAGACAAACATCACAAAGTGCTTCACAGAAAGCAAAAATAATTAAAAACAATAAAACAGATCACAGATATAAAAACAACAATTGAAACACAATAAAAAGCACTTAACTAAAAGCCTGTCTGAATAAAAATGTCTTCAGATGTTTCTTAAAAGAGTAGAATCTGAGCAGTGAAGGTACAGAGGGAGAGCGTTCCAGAGCCTCGGGGCCACCACCTGAAAAGCTTTGTCTCCACGGGTTTTATAATGGGTTTGAGGGACCACCAGCAGCATTTGATTAGAAGACCTCAGAGTCCTGGATGGACAGAGAGGCTTCAGAAGGTCCAGGATGTATTTGGGGGCCTGACCATGAAGTGCTCTGAAAGTTAAAACTAAAATTTTWAAATGACTCCTCAAATGGAGTCATTTTGTTGGAAGGGAACAGTTGTTACTGAAACCCTCAGAACATCTTTTTACTATATCTTAGATGTTAATTTTTATGGTTTTTATCAAGTTTTTCCTTTGTTTGTATTCTTTTTATCTTTTACTGTTTGCTGTTTTTATTTACTTTGTTCCTTTGGAGGAGTTTTAAAGGGTTTCACATTTAAATTGGATTAAGAATGACATCAACAACTGATTAACTTTACATTTATAGTTTTGTTGCTTCTCTTGGTGTTTCATCTGTTTTTATTTGTAAAGTTTTTTTTTATTTTGGTTTTATCTGTTATTACTTGTTCAGCACTTTAAAATTGCTATTATTATTACTATTATTATTATTTATTTTTTTAGTGTAATTTTGGAKTCGATCAAAATAAAGATGAAAAAGCGAATCCATCTTAGCTAAAACAGTCATGGTGGTAGCTCAGTCAGGCTTTAGCTTGAGGAGCTCCTCCAGTTTTACGACGCCTCCTTTCAGCCGGCGACGCCTCAGGATACCGTGCAGATCTTCAGGGTYGCTGAGATTCATCAGACATTGGTCAGCGGTGTAAGGGTCACGCAATTATTTTATGAATAATTAGCACCGGCTTGTTTAGAGGAGGTGGGTAGTGATGTTACAGCTTCAGCAGCTGTTATGGGTCGTCACAGTCTCCGGTCCCGGTCCGTCTGTAACTTTTATTTCTTGACGTAAATTTCGGAAACTTCCCTAAGTGAAATTATCGTTGTTGTACTGAACATATTTTTTATTGATATTGATCACGTGTCTATATTTTTATCGTCCAGCCATTAGTTAAGCACTGTTACTATCTATGGAGTGAGTTCTTCAGTTACGCTCTGCAGAGACAGTGCTGTGTGAACGGCTGCACGAGGTCACAGATTGTGTTGTAAAGCACTGGTTGGAAAGAAAAGCTCTCTGTATATGTATGGTTCTTGCTGCAGTCCATGAACCTTGTGCTAACACGTTTTGTACTTTTCACACTTTCAGCTTTAATCGTGTTTACAGAGATTCAAAGCAGATAAATGACAGATTTATAGCATCACCTAAATTTATCCCACAAGTGACTCATCACTTTGACAGCTTCTTCTTTAAATATCACAACAACACATCTGACTAATCTAATTTGCATTTTCAAACTTGAGCTTGAGTCTAGAAGAAAAAAAAGGAGAAAAAACGGGAAGCCAGCGTGTACTAACCGACTTGCTTGTTGCGCTGCTTAGTTTTGAGGCGGACGATCTGCAGGATGCTGGAGTTGGTGATGTCAGAGACCACGTCGGACACCCGCTTCCACACGCGTAACAAAGCCCCACACAACATGTGATATTGACGGAGGCGCATGCCCTGCAGACACTCGTGGCCCTCTTCGATTTTCTTACACTTCCCATTCCTGCAGGAGGAGCGCAGGAAATGTGCATTCAATGAGCTTTTTTTAACACTTTGTCAGGCTGAAACAGTTGAATTGTTTCGATTTAAGCACAAATGGCCTCTGAGTGTTGAAGCACACACACACACGCACGCACGCACGCACGCACGCACGCACACACACACACACACACACACACACACACACAGAATGCTTGTGAGAACAAGCCTGACTGAAAGCCCTCGGGGATAATGTGGATTTCTTCTTACCAGTTGGCGTGACTACACTTTTCTAAAGAGAAGGTGAACTGGTTCTCCCAGCTGTCCTTAGCTTCCTCTGGAGTAACCTGAAATAACAACGTAATTATTAGCTGAAAACTCATCACAGCTGCAGTTTGCTTCAAATCCATGCCTGTCGTTTCACCTTAATGCCCACCAGGGGGCAGCAAAGCTTCTTATGAAACATCGTAATGAAGCAATGACATGGGCTAGATCAGGGAGATGGCCCCCGACTTAAGTTCAAGAGTTATAGTAATTTGTTTACATATTTATCCTCCCGACACAGGTGTTTGATGTAGATGGAGACTTTTTATTTATTATTAGGGCAAATTTATCACAAAGTAAAATCTTATAATAAAAAATATTGGCAACAAAACAAATTATTTGTCTTTAAATAACCAGACTCGTAGCTTTTTCCACATCTATCTGGTGACTTCTACTCAGAAACTGATTTTGCTGCACTTAAATCTGCTTTTAATTCATTTATTAAATTCATCTGAACAGCAAGCATTTTAAACCAAAGAGTGACCTAAATCCTGATTTTATTGATCAGAATAAATTGGGTTATTTTTTCCTCCAATTGAAACCTAGAAAATTGCAAAATTTCTTTCAATAAGGGAAACCTGCAAATTAATTAATAAAGATTAATTTACGCATCCATTTCCAGCAATAAATCTGACTATTTGTTTAATTAAAGTAATCAATGCTTAGTTTATTGTTGAGCAGGTAAAGGAAAAATACTTTTGGCCCTCAAGTCCTTCTGACTTCATGATTTTGGCGCACGTGACAAAATGTTTGGACACGTCTGGTTTAGAGCAAAGACAGATCTTTTGATTGAGGTGTTTTTCAACAATCCCCCCCCCACCCACACACACACACAGATTGTATTTCCACCAAACTGAGGACTTTGTATTGACTTCCATTCATTTTTAACCACAGTAGCTGTGTTTCCATTGCAAATGTGCGCAAAACTTAGTCGATATTCTATTAATGTCGAAAAAACACAGTTTCACAATTGCAGTGTTTCCATTAAGTAAGAAATGTTATTAAAGTCACGTGTGAATACGTTTTTTCTCACAATAAGTCATTACAAACATGGCAGCAATGGATGTAAACTCAAGCATAGTGCTACCACGACACTAGCGCTCATCATCAGCCATCAGAGGAGACGTCAGCGTTTTATCGAGGCTTTCGAGTGACAAGCYCCTTATACTTGGGAGYGGCTACGTATGCAGCATTTATGGGAAAATGTAATCGGTGAGTTAACTACTTTATTTTACAACTTCAATGATTTTACTRCTACTTTTATTTCCTGTCATCTTCTTCGTCGTCGTCTTTTTCGCCAGTAGAAACAGYCRGTTSTTGATCACRTGACTCCCGTGACGCGAAAAAAGTGTTTCCATTGCAGTTTTGTGAAACACACCAATTTCGATACGGCCGAAAAACCACCTCATCCTAGCGCAAAAACATTTTGTCGAAAAATGTAAGTTTTTTCGAAACTGATGTGTTTCCATTGAGCAAATTTATTTTAGAAATTCTAATTTGCGCATTTTCATGATCAATGGAAATGCAGCTACCGGTAGTTATGCCTAACCCAGAAATTTTCTCTAACCCTAATCTTAACCAAAACTTAATTCACATAATACCTCTAAACATAACTAGTAGTAGAACTGAAAAAAAAAAGTGAGGACCGGGAAAATGTCCTCACTCTGTTGGCTAAAAACATGACGGTCCTCATTCTGCAGCAGAAACAAGTACACATACACAAGTACACCACGTACTATGCTCCTAACACTATCCTGTGTACTTTGACTAAGCATACTCCAAACATTATACACTGTGTCCATGTCCTTAGCTAAAGTACAAAGTTTAGTTGTTAATTGTTTATTTAAAGGATCCTCTCWAGTCTCCACTGTAGCAGAGACTATGCAACCAGAGCTGTTTTTCCCTCTGTTTTACAAATGACAGAGTTCCGTCCTGACCAGGTTCAACTTTAACCTGTGATGAAACATTRCATCAAACAGCGATCATGTCAGTGCAGAAAATATCTGTCTTTTACAAAGCTCTTCATAGAGCCAGTCTTACCTTCTTGTATCTCTGCAGCAGGTTGTTGAGGCTCTCRGGCTGCGTCTGCTTGCCGATGTTGGGCTTGTAGATGTTGAAGTGCTTCCCTCGCCCCTGCTCAGCCAGCAGCACACATGGACTGTTACCTCGCAGCTGCAGGAAAGAACAAACGCAGAGTTTCAGCTTTCAGTTCATGCTTTTATTTTCTGTGCACAGCCTGGACTGACTGAAGTCAGCTCACCTTATAGGACAGGTAGAAGCCCTCATCAGGAGCGCTGAGCTTCAGGGACTTGCTGTAAGCCTCTTTCCAGGGCATACCTCTGTCCACAGTGATCTACAGGGCAAACAGATTGTCACACTTAGAAACAGTTCACCACCTTCCAGGTCTGAGAATTTACTGGTCAAGTACTTGCAAAACTCTACTAGGAATAAATATATTTTAGTCAGATCATTCTGTACCTAAGAGTCCTGCTGAGAAAACAAAGGTACGTCTTTACGGTGAGTCTCACAGAAACTGACAGTCTGCAGACCCTCACCTGTCCTGCATCGACGTGAGCTTTTAGAAAACACATGAGCACCAAGGTGTGGAGTACACCTCACTTCAGCTGAGTGAACGTGGAGCACAGCTCATAAAATGTGTCAGGGACAAATCTTTGTCTAAAACATGATGAATTAACTACTTTTAGCAGTCCTTGAATAAAATTATTGTCTTTAACAATAACATAACTCTTTATATTTAACACTTACACTGTGTTAAAGAGAAAAATACTAAAATATAGTTTATGGATCTGGGCTATTCAACTGGCGGCCCGCAGGCCACATCCGGCCCACGAGTGACCAAAGCTCGGCCCGCCAATTGGTTTGTTCATCTTAAGCCCAAACCCCCTGTTTTTCTATTTTAATTACTCTAAGTCAGTGGTTCCCAAACTTTTTATCTTCTGAACCACAAAATATCCATGGCAAAAACTTGTGACCCCAAATA